AAAAAGTAGGAGGCAGAAAAAAAAAAAAAAAAACACAAAAAAGCACCTGTAACATTCTGTCAAACATATTTTCTGCTTTTTGCCCCCCAGTTACAGCAGTCTTTTTCCATTCAAGGTCTTACAGTGTGCACCATTACTATGATTATCCAAACCCCTTACCGTTAACATTAGTCAAAGCTGGACCTTTTGAAAACCTAACAAGATCCCTTCCACTGAAAGCCCTGATTTTGGAGAGGGACCACTAAGAGTTTAGATTGAGAAATCAAGGTTTTATTAAATAAAAATACCTATTTATAAAAACCACTCGTGTAATTTAGCGAAACCCCTTTGTTTAAATGTAAGGAAGCAGTGTTAAGGCAAATACAGATTCTGTGCCGTTCCACTGTAACCCATGCATCCTCTGCTGTAGATCATGGGTAGCATATTTAATTTTGGAAATCCAGCCCTTAAACCCTAAGTATCATTTAACCCTCTTACAAGAATGAACTCAATATCAGTTAGATTGAACTCTGCAGCACTGAAAAGACAAATTCTACAGCTTTATGCTACAACAAAGAAACTGCAACGTAAGATTGACTAATTCCAAATTTAGTAAGGTAGGAGAGCGACACCCTAGGGTTAAGCCACCACATTTGAAATAGGCTTTTTAGGAACAGCAAGAAGGAACTTAGTTGGTCTTATAAAGAGTAAAGAGCCTTAACTACAAGATTTGAGAACAAAAATTACCTTGAATATAGTTCTAGGACTATTTTGACTATTCAAAAAAACAAAAAACTACATTAATTTCATATAATCTTAAATAACTGAGTAATATTAAATTTATAATAAATAATTCAGATCTCTACCCGTATGCTTCCTGTTCCCAAGAAATAAGGTCTGGACCAGGTAACAACTCTGGATTCTCTGTGCAGATATACAGGAATGCCCGAGTTATGGAATGTCATGATCCATCCATCAGGCAATGGCTCTGTTGGAGGGCGGCCTCGACCTTTAAAAGAGAAAAGGCACAAACTTACATAGACCCTTCCCCATTCTTGAATACAAATCAGATTTTTTTTTAATTAATTTCTGATCGCACCTAGGAAGATTCTTCCACTTAGAAACTGAAAAACATTGTATAACAAGACTAAGAAACTCTACACGCAATTTTGCTTTACAGAGTATTCCATTTATTTCACACTTAAATTAAACTTTAAGAGAAAGGTACACCCCCAAATTCAGCGATTTGTGATGAACTATGGGTCCAAGTGACATTAATATAAACTTGAGTTTAATCTTTTCTTACTTTAAAAGCCAAATAGACTGCTGTTTTTGATTTTCAAGCAAGGTCTAAAAACTGGCTATGGGATGGAATTGTAATAAAATTGTTATTATTGTAAGATGTACATGCATTTTTACATTGACTTACCCAGAACTCCCTCCCGCCCCCCCACAATAAAAAGGTATAAATATTTAAGTGAAAGTAATTTACTTTTAAGTACGGTTTTTATTTTGGTCATCATTGGCTGCACACTTGTCTCTCCATCAGACTGGTGGTCACTTTCACCTCCATATTTCTCATTTTCTACTCTCCTCTTTTTGGGTGCTTGAAGACCCTCTTCCAGCAGAGCATCCA